TGTCGCAGGCTCCATTTGTTGCCACTGCAGGATTGCCTGCAGGCTGAATTGCCAGAGAAAAGAAAGAATGAGGGATTTCACACTCTCTGAACATCAGCAATTCCCATTGTTGCCATTGAAGCCAGGACTAGAGGGCTTCTCTGAGAGATGTTAGTGTCTTCAGCCTCTGCCTACTTCAGGATTGGGGCTGTGTTGAGTTCAGAATGGGGAATACTGGACGGAAAAAATGGTAAACTCATTGCCAGGTTCGTAGTACTTTGAATTCTGGTCTTCCCCAATCCATCTGCTACTATTTACGTTTTAGACTCCTCTGACAGCTGCTCTAAGCATTTTCCCAGGCTTTATGGCTACATTCAGTGGGAGAGACAGGTGGATTGTGCTTATCTTATCTAATCTAGAATCATAAAACCAAACAAAACTTCACATCCAGATGGTTTTACTGGAGAGTTCTATCAAACATTCAAGGAACAAGTGATTTCATTCTTCATCAAGTAATCCAGAGTATGGAAAAAGAGGCTGCACTCCCTAACTCATTTTTTGAGATTAAGTTTCATATTAAAATCTGATGAGGACAGGAGGAGAAAGAAAATTATAGGCTAATCCAACTCATTAACATAAATGTAAAACTTTTAAATGACTATTAGCAAGCAGAATTCATCAAGATATAAAAAAGATAGTATATAATGGCCAAAGTAGGTTTCCCAGGACTGTAAGGTTAGTTTAAAATTAAGAAAGCAATCACTGAAACTTACTATATCACTAGATTAAATTTAAAAACATGATTATCTCAATATATGCATACAAAGATTTTATAAATTCAACAACTATTCATCATACTAATGGTGGATACTTAAAAGATTTTACATTAAGATTAGTAACAAAAGAAGGATGCCCATCTATTGTACAGGCGGTTTCCCTAAAAACACAAAAAGGTGAAAAAGTACAAGAGTTGGGAAAGAAGAAACAGAACTATCATTATTCACAGATGAATGATGCCTAGTGGACATGAGAGCCCCCAGAACTGGGAGCTCACAGGGGTTCCCCGTGCAGACATGTAGAGTTGCCATTCTCCGTGGGACATTCAGAGCGGAATATGTACTCCCTGTGATCTGGAGGAAGGACCTGGAGAACCCGGGAAGCATCTCTGACAAAGGAAAGAAGCAGAGATGGCAGCGGCAGGAAGAGGGAAGAATTTCCTTTCTTAGTCTTCCAAAAACTAATGTTGGACAGTGTTTTCTGCCCAGTGCTTGTATATGAATATACGTACATACATACCTACTAGATCACAAGAGCAAAGAACAGTGCTAAAGAAATATCACCACACTAACAAGATAATATTTATTTTTTCATGCTTTTTTTGGTCTCCATGCCTTATGCCTAGTTTTTACTTTGTTGTTGAGAAAGCAGTCCACTGGGGGCGCTGAGCTCCCTGCAACTTCTTGCTAAGTATGCCAAGAATGCTTGAGTGCCCTTTGCTGGGCTATTTCTTAGGGTTGTGTTTGCAGTGGCAACCTCAGTAGATGAGTTAGCTCCTTTCCCCAGGAAGAGCAGGCTTGCTTCTGCTCTCCATAAAAGCCCCGAATCTCCCGAGCTCAGTGCTCCTCTCCCGTAACACAGTCCTCTGCGTGTGCAGGCGCCCAGGATGGGCCTTCTGCATTGGCTTTGATGGACTCGGGGGCCATGGGAACCAACACAGAAGAATATGATAAGCTCTAGCTACTGCTTTTGCTGTGAATAATAAAGTCTTTTGTCTCTGATCCAGAAGTTCATGTCTTCTGCCAGCATCCATGAAACAGAAAGTAACAGGCTAATTTGTAAGCTTACAAATAGGGTAAAATCCTAGAACCTGCACAGTTCTTGACAATTATAGGCCTGGTTTACCTATTTATTATGCAAAATGCTTTTCATGACGAGGTTTTATAAGTTGTGCATAACACCACATATTTTTTCTGTCGGGTTTATACTGTTACATCAAAGTGATACAACATAATTTGCTTAATCAAACCCATATTTAGAATTCTTTTCTTCATTTAAAAAAAACTATAACTTGCTGGTGATTTTAAAATAATTTCCTTAGGATAAATTCTCAAGAATGAAGTTAAAGTGTTAAATATAATGAATATTTTCTTCATAAATTGTCTCGTTACTTCCTGAAAGAAAAAGCTAATAATAGTAGAAGAAAACATAACTCTATGATTAAAAATAGTCATAAGTGGGGGCCAGCCTGGTGGCGTAGCAGTTAAGTTCACGCACTCTGCTTTGGTGGCCTGGGGTTTGCAGGGGATCCCGGGCACAAACCTAGCTCCACTCTGCAAGTCACGCAGCAGTGGCCTCTACATATAAAGCAGAGGAAGGTGGGCACAGATGTTAGCTCAGGGACAGTCTTCCTCAGCAAAAAAATTAATTAATCAAAAAAAAAAATCATGGGGCCGGTCCAGTGGTGCAGTGGTTAAGTGCTCACATTCTGCTTCAGTGGCCCAGGGTTCACTGGTTCAGATCCCGGGTGCGGACATGGCACCACTTGGCAAGCCATGCTGTGGCAGGCGTCCCACGTATAAAGTAGAGGAAGATGGGCACGGATGTTAGCTCAGGGCCAGTCTTCCTCAGCAAAAAGAGGAGGATTGGGGGCTGGCTCCGTGGCTGAGTGGTTAAGTTCACGTGCTCAGCTGAAGGTGGCCCAGTGTTTCGTTGGTTCAAATCCTGGGCATGGACATGGCACTGCTCATCAGGCCACACTGAGGCAGCATCCTACATGCCACAACTAAAAGGACCCACAACGGAGAATATACAACTATGTACCGGGGGGCTTAGGGGAGAAAAAGGAAAAAAAATAAAATCTTAAAAAAAAAAAAGAGGCCACAGCAGTTAGCTCAGGGCTAATCTTCCTCAAGAATAATAATAATAATAATAATAATCATAATCATAAGTGGAGAATCTGTTCCCTGAAGTCACAGATTGTATCATGGAAATGCGAAGCCAGGCATCTTCAGAACAGCCTTTGAAGACTTAGGAAGATTTGATTTTCTTGTGGAAAATATTAACCACACTAATTCACAGAAGTTATTTACCATTTGGATCAATCGTTTATCATGAAACCTTTGTGCGCATCATTAAATGTAGCAGTCTGGGTCCAGATTTATAGTTCTCTTTTTTTGCAACATGTCAACGATACTATTTCACTATTTTTGGCTTTTGCCCTTGCTATTGAGAAATCAGTTGTCAGTTAAACCGTTGTTCTTTTGTAGGTGATCTGTCCATTCTTTCCACTTTTCTTTTGCGTCAAGCAGTTTCACTATGCTATGTCTGGTATAGGTTTTCTTTTATTTATCCTGCTTGAGATATGTGGTATTTATTAAATCTAACTACTAGTATCCTTCATACCCTTCATAAACTTTGGGAAGTTCCCAGCTATTATACTTTTGGAAATAAGGCACTCTCCATTTTCTCATTCTAGAAATCCAACTAAAAATACAGTAGGTCTTTTTACTCTATTCTCCGTGCTTCAGTCTGTCTTTGATCGTTTCCTTTCATTCCTTATTTGCTCAGATCTTTTAGTTCATTAATTCTCTCTCCATCTTTGTCTAATCCACTGTTTAGCCTGTTCACTGAGTTATTTTTCGAATCTATCCAGTCACTTTGGAGCGCTTCTTGTATGTCGCTCAGTGTTTGAGTCTATTTTTCTTTCTTCAAACATTTCACACATCGTTATCTTGTGTTATGTATCTCATGATGTCAGTATTTGAAGCTCATGGGTGATGAAACCTATTGCGTGGTGATTCTGCTTATTCTCAGTCACGTTTCGTTTCCTTGTGTGTTTGGTAATTTTGGGTGGCTTATATTAGGCTGATCTTAATCCTGGCAGGCATTAGATGACGTTTTTCTCCAGAACAAATTTATGTTTATGACAACCCTATACCAAGGGTTGTCATCATTTGGGGCCACTTAATTTCTTTAGACTTCCCCTTACTCTGTAGTTGTGGGTAGAATAAATTTCATTCCAAGATTCTACAATGCAAGAGAGATTATTTCCTACCCAGAGCTGAGATGGGGATAGGTGATCTTCCTGTGTCCCTTTAAAGGCAGACATCGTTTTCTACCAGCTTTCTCAATTCAGCTGCCTCCATCGCACAGACCCAAAACCTGGTCTCTTGCTCTTTTTGCTACAGTATTGATATCGGCATTAGACCCTGAAGCAACCTAAGGTTCCACATTTGCTTACCATTCTGCTGTCAGCCACCAGTTAGGGTTTTGTCGTTGGGGGCAAGGTTGGTGGGTGGGTGGCGGGGAGAGGAAGGTTGGGAGGTGCTTGGACACTTCTGTGTCTCACGGTCTCAGCCATGCACTAAAAGTGTGCAGTGACGGATGTTGGCTCAGGGCCAGTCTTCCTCAGCAAAAAGAGGAGGATTGGCAGCAGATGTTAGCTCAGGGCTAATCTTCCTCAAAGAAAAAAAAATCAATAGGAAAAAAACTGTGCTGTGACTTTTCTGGCCCCTGGCAGGTTCGTGGCAGGAGAGCTCTTCAGAAATCTTATCTGCCACAGAGCAGAAATGAAAGGCTCGGTGGGGTTTCCACCTCAGACAGATACTTGGCAAAAGAATCCTCGACCCCCAAGCATTACGCCCTTGTGGGGCAGGAAGCTCCAGCTCAGATTTCTCCTTTTCCCACTACGAACTCCCAGGTAGGTCTTTGAGGGTCGGTTTAAAGAATGGCCTCTGTGCCTGGTTGCCCCCTACCCCCACCCGACAGGGTGCCTTAACCTAAGTGGTTCCAAGCACAAACTCTGGAAAAGGCTGCCTTGGTTTCAGCCTCAGCTCTGCTACTTGTGGTGGGACTCTGGCCAAATTACTTAACTCTATAAGTCTCAGTTTACCCATCTGTAAAATGGAGATCGTAATAAAATCTTACAGACTCCCAGCCCATGCCGGGAGAAATCAGCACAAAATACAGTCCTTCCATCAGCGATTCAGGAGTTCAAGTGACACGTGATCTGATTTCTGATAAACTGTCCACATATGTTTTAATGAAACAAATGACGGAATGAATTTGCATGCAACACATGCAGTTTACAGAAAGCAAGTGAGAGGCAAATAGAAATCAGACGTACTAGTGTCCACAGCCGAGTCAGGGCCACCCAGGGCTACAGGGGATCCCGACAGCACTTTAGCCTGTTTCTGGGACCTCAGGGAAAAGACTGCAACACGACAGGACTGAGGGCCTATTGGAATATTGCACATCAGGCGGGGTCAGTATAGGAGGCCAGGTTCTCCTTAATTCATAGACGGAAAACTGAGGCCCAAAGAGGTTGACCAGCTTGTTCAAGGCCAGTCAGTCAGTCACTGGCAGTTACTGAACCCAGGACTCTGTGCTGCCCTCTGCTGCTCCCTTAGGGCCCCACGATGGCAGATTCTTCTTCAGCTTACCCTCCTCCTTTGTTCATGTGACACTATATACTTAACCCATTTGGTGAAAAGAAGAATCTGACATGTTATCATAAATTTGTTCTAATTGTATACACCTCTATGTATGTTTTCACATTATGATCATATTCCAAAATTCATTTATGTTGTTTTCAGCATAATATTTCATTTTTCCATGCAGATACTAACTATGCTTGTAGAATTATTTAGGATTGCTCTAGTTGCAATTGCTATAAAACCATTTAAGTAAAAAAGGAAATGTATTGCTTCACATGACTGAAGAACTCAAGAATAAAGCTCCAGCTTCAGGCAAGGATAGGTCCAGGTGTTCAAAGGATGTCGTTGGGAAGTTGTCTCTTTATACAAGTTGGATGAGCTTTAGCCAGTGTTGCCTTCATTTGCAGGCAACGCTCTCTATGTCATGGCCCCTGACCAACTTACATTGTCACAGCTCCTAGTTCAGAAGCAAGAAAATCTCCTTTTCCCAGTAGATCAGTGAATTTCTGAATTTAATCTCGTTGCCTGGCTTGGGTTTTTTGGAGCATGGAACACTGGTTGGTCATGTCTGTCAAGTGCCACTCCTGGGTACTGGGGAGGTGTCACCCCTATGAAAACCACGTGGCTTGTTGAAAGGGCATGATTCCCAATCAGGCTGTTGCTATGAGAAGAAATGGGAATAGAGGTGGGACGAGCGAAGACGGCAGTTCACATCACGCGCCATCCTAACAGCCCAGCGGTGGCCGTGGTGTTCTTCGGCATTACCCTCATCACACACACTTAGGTTGCTTCCAGAGAGGAACCAGATGCTCTGGGTTCAAATCCCACATCTGCCTCTCTCTCCACAGCTGTGAGCCTCGGGCAAGTGTCTTAGCCTAACTTTGCCTCAGTCTCCACATCTGTAAGATGGGGAGAGCAATGCTGCCTACTCAGAGGAGTGCTGTGAGGATCCCATGAGCTAACGACCCATGGAAAGAATCCCTATCAGCCCCTGGTGCACACCAAGCATCCAATACATGTTAGCCATTATTACTCAGCATTGTAACTAGCATTGCTAATAAAAAAACCACATTTAATTTAGAAAATCACTTTCACTTTCTATGTATTTCCTTAGAATACATCCCTCTAACTGGAATTGCCTGGTCAAAGGGCCAGCTGTGCTTACACTCCTGTTATTTATGGCCAGATTGCTGTCAGGAGTACTGAGCCATTAACAGTGTCCCAGGCAAAGGGCCCGGTGCTGGGCAATCCGAGCCATCTCCAGCCCTCTAGTCTTGTCTGGAGCAACACTTTCCTTTGAGGGCAAAACAAAATAGCCTGAGCACACGTATGACAGTGGAGGGCTGCCTGGGCTTGGCCGGCTGTCCTACGGTCCTCCACAGTCCCCACCACTGAACAGCTCATGCACCATTTCCTCCCTCCATCCCCCTCTTGCCCTGTCTTCTGGGGCTCATGTCAGCCTCTTGAGACCTGTGCCTATTTCCCTCTCTCACACTCTTGAGCTGCCAGGAACTACTCTAAAGTCCCTGACACCTTTCTTACATTGAGAAACACAAGTCTCTTTTCTCTTTCTTTTTAACCAACCTCCACCCAAGCTAGGCTCTGGGACCTAACTCTGCATAACCAAAGAGAATTTCTGAATCCAAAAAGGCCCTGTGCTATGGAGACTCACAGCTCCTGGAGGCAGGTACACGGTCACAGTCATGCAGCCCAGCTCCCAGGGACGTCTGTGCAAGGGCACTGTCACCCCCATGTTCCTCTGCGATCTCGGCACAGCCACTCCTGGCTTCTCGGTACTCATGTCCTTGACTTCCTTGCCTGCCCTTCCTGCTCGTCTCTTCTCGGGTCCCTGCCCCTCCAGTGTTGGTGTGGCCCAGGGCTCGGGCCTCAGCCTCCCCAGCTTCTGGGCTGCCCCGAGGAGATCTCGTCCATTCCCTGGTTTTCTCTCCACCTCCATGTGGATAACCCTGACAGTTCTGCCAGTGGGTAACCCATAACTGCCACGTTCACCAATACCACTTAGACACATTACACCTATATCTTCACCCCCGGCCCAGACCCCTGCCCTGTGCTCCATGTCTTTCTATCCAGATGCCCACCAGATCCCCTTGCTGGCTGCTGCACAGGCCCCTCTGAGCAAACATGTCTGAAGCGGAGCCTGCCTTCCTTCCTGAAACCTTTCTCCCCGGAACTCCACCTCGGTGAACGGCATTTCTCTCCCCACCACCAGGCAGCCAGCCCTCCAACCGGGCTGAGGAGTCTTGACTCCTCACTCTCCCCACTCCCAAAGCTAATCTGTCCTGGGATCCCACCAGGCCTTCCCCCAGACTCCTCTGCTGCGTGCATCTCCACACCCAGCCCGGGGCGCAGCAATCTTCACCGAGGCGGGCAGCCCCTCCCAGGGGCCTGTCCTCCTGCCTCCTCTCGCCCTCCTCAGCTCAGCCCTCACGCACACCTGAGGGTCCTTCACTAATGACTACATTCACCTGCTTTAAGCACGAGGCTACAACCCCAATCTCTTCATCAGTTTAAAAGTCAGAAAGAAGACAGGATGCTCTCTGGTCCTGCCACTAAACAGACAAAACAAAACAAAGACAAAAACCAGAGTCCCCGGGCTCCTAAGAAAATGTTGCTCCTGCCTTAGACACACATATGGCTGCACTCATTTCCATTTTTTGCTTTTAACAGCAATTCTCACTGCCCTGCCAATGCTGAATGTATTTTCATTTTAAGTGTTCCAGCTATAACGTTTTAAAAATCAGCAGTCAACATAACAGGGTGCGAGGTGCTATGGGAGCCCACGAGATGTAACAAGGTCCCGGTCCTGGAAATGTTAACAGTTTTGCTTGGAAGGTGGAAGTAACAACCTTGGCACATGCAAGTTCAAGTTGTCGCGGGAAGTCAGGGTTCAGGAACCTGGGAGGGCAGCGAGGAGCCTTCCCTCTGAATTTGCCAGTCCTCTCCTCTCACCCCCCGTGGGAAGGGGCAGCGTCTCCTGGCTGGTCAGAGAATCTGCCCTTTGACATTTAGAGTTGGTGACTTCAGAGAGCGGGCAGTGGCATCTGCTTCCCCCTTGAGGCATTCTGGGGTCAGCCACCCCACAAGGACCGCAGGATGAGGCTCTCCTGGCTGGGGCTGCTCCCTGTCCACCGGCCACGCTCTTGCAGCTGCAGCCCGCTGAGCGGGAGGGAGAAGGCGAGTTTGCGCTGCCCCGGTGCATCCCTGAGTCCTCAGTGAAGAGAAGGCAGGCAGCTGTCCAGGGAATTCCTCCCGCGGCTGCCTGTCCTTGCATGTCCTCCCCAAACTCCAAGCCCCCATCAAGAGCCCAGGGCTGGTGTCTGCAAGCACAGGAGCAGAAGAGAACCAGGGGCGAGCAGTAAGGTCCAGTCGCTCAGAAGTCCTGGTGCTCACAGGGACGCACACTCAAGCACAGGGCTGTGACTGTCTTGCTGACAGCTGCCCGGGATTCTGGCTGGGGCCCTGGGCGGGCTGTGAGGAGGGTGCAGACCTCAGCTCTCCGACAAATATGTAGGGAGCACCTCGGGGCATGGCTGCTGCCCTGCACTGACACAGCTTAGACAAGACTGGTCCCATCACTGCTCTCACAGAGCCGACAGTCTAGTGAGGGAGACAAATGTTAACCAGATGGTCTAGCGTGTGAAACATGTACAAGAATGTCCTTGTGTGTTTCTTGTATAAATAAAATACCACAGAGAGGTTTTTAAAGCCAGGAGAAGTACAAGGCACAGGAAAGGGTTTCCTTAAACAAGTGGATTGGAAGGGGCACGTCAAGTGTGAGGAAGTGGGGCGAGCACTCCTGCCAGAGAGAGCAGCCTAGACCGAGGCCCTGCAGCAGGACGGGCACAGGTCCTGGGCAGGAGTGGAAAGAAGTCAGGCACAGCTGGGATGTAGACACAGAGGGGAGAAGGGAGCCCGAGAGCCTGGACAGGAGGCAGGGTCACATGCTGTGCCTCACAGCCTAGCTCAAGAGTTCTGGACATCTAAGAGCATGAGAAACCTTTGAAGAATTAATAAGCCTCAAGAGTGGCGTGAAATGTGTGCGCGCGCTTAAAGATTACTCTAAGCATTTTGCAGAATATGGGTTGTGAGGGGCAAAGTGCACAAGGGAGGATTACTTAGGAGGTTGTTGAAATAACCCCGGCGCAAAAAGGCAGTATTTTGGACCAGCGTGGTAGACTTGCAGATGGAACAGTGGGCGAATGAAACACGGGGAGGAGGTAGGTCCAGCAACACGAGAAGCTTGGCCAGGTGTGACTCATATTAACAATGTTGCTTCTATGTGTCAACAGAATAATCCAGTATAAAGTTAGGAGTTGGCTTGATTTTTATTGGGATTAAGATAAATATATTGTTGAGATTGAACGCTTTCTTAATTGGTGGCTGCTTTTAAGCCAACTGTGAATATATTTTATTCCTACTCTCTAAGGAAGGTTGTGTCCTGTATCTAAAGAGCTGTACCTTTTCAGATTAGAATTTAAATTTACGTTGGAATTGTAAGGTTTTTTAGGTAAATTTAAATTTGAACTGAAATTCTGTCATTGGATAACCAGCTATCACCAGGCTCATTAGGCTTTTCACCTCTACCTATAAATCTCACGATTTTGCAACATAGATGAGTTGGTTCTTTGAAATTGTTCGTAGGTAGCTTGTCTGGTTTCGGGATGTTTAGCTTAAGTTCTCTTTGTTAAACTATTCTAGCTAAATCATTTTGGTAAGCTTTGCTACTTGGTACTTTTAACATTTCTTTCATCATTCTCTTTCTCTATAGCACCAATTAAAATTTCTCTCTCCTATACTTTAGTAGTTTGGTGAATGTTTTATTTAAGTAGTTTGAAGTAGCTGACGTGGGTGTTGTTTGGGCTAGCTTTGGTTCAAAGCGATCATTTTATGTGAAATCTTCCAGGTGTAAACTAGATGCTCTATTTAAGCTACACTTTGATTACCCAAACACACCTTCCGGTACACTTACCTAGGTAGGATCTGTCTCCTTTTAAATGTTTGGATCATGATATTACGTTAAATTATGATTTGTAATATTTATGGAGGATGACAGGCAGTGTGTGTGCACTTGATGGCCTGATTCAATTTAGCTCTCTATTCTTAATTTACTGCTAAATCCTCCTTTGGTTTCTAGTTTCATAGAAACTTTCGTGCACGTTTATATTCTTAAGAGGAGAAAACGTAGCCCATTTCCCTCCATCCTATAAGCTACACCCTGACCTAACGTTTTTGTGTTGGATACTTGTGCTTACTTTAGTACCTTTTTAGGGTTTGCTGAAGATGGCAGTATATAGGCTGCATTAGCAAGGGTTGGTGAGGTTATCAGGGTTTATCGATTATAGAACAGGCTCCTCTAGAAGGATATAGAGCACCGCCAAGCCCTTTGAGTTTTAGGCTATTGCTAGTAGTACTCTGGCGAATAACTTGGTTGTGGTAAATTATCTGGGTTTAGGGCTAAGCATAGTGGGGCATCTAACCCCAGTTTGGGCCTTAGCTATCGTGTAGTCAGAGATACTAAAGTCACTTTCGTAGTTTATTTTACTTTGGTTGTAGCTTTTTACAGCTTAACTGGCTTTTAACTTTATTTGTGATGATATCTTTTGACACACTTTACGCTGGGGTTGTATTAATTTGGGTTAATCATATGACCACGGTGGCTGGCACGAAATTTACCAACCGCATTTAATATAACTTAGTCAAACTTTCGTTCATGGCTTAATTTTTGTCACTGCTGTTTCCCTGGGGGTGTGGTTAAGCAAGGTGTTGTGAGCTACTGTTTTAGTGTGCTTGATACCTGCTCCTTTCAATCGTTGGGTGTGACTTGGAGGGCACTCTCACTGGGAAGTGGATACTTGCATGTGTAATTTTAGCAGCAATTAATAAAAAGGCTGGGACCAAACCTATACGTTTATGGAGTAAGAATACTCATCAAGGCATTTTCAGCGCCTTGCTCTATGTTATTAAGCTACATTAACAAGTTCAGTTTAGGGTGCGTGGTGGGGTTTGGGTGTTGGGTTGTTTTAATGGATTTTTTGAGAAATCAGATCTAGCGGGATGTCTGTCTACAGAAATTTTATTGATTAAAGTAGCATGTTGGTATCAGTGGGGGGGTCCTTTTAGATTGTTGGGTAGGTTTTTAGTGTGAGTGCTATTGTGTGAGAATTAGGCTTTACATAGTTTTGCGTATGTGGTCTTGTTTTTGGGGTTTGGTAAGGTCGTAGTAAATATGCGCAGTGTAAGGTTTAATGGGGGGTTGGGGGGTTGCTAAGGAAATTATTTATTTGCTTAGTAGCGTGTGTGTACCTATGTGTACATATGTGAACTTTTCCGTATGTCCTGAGTCCCTTGACTGAATAACACCTTATGGTTGGTGATGTGGATAAATAACGTTCAATTTAAGTCCAGCGTCAATGTGCTCGACTGTGTTAAGGCCTCTGACAGCCACAGCTGAGTCACAGAATGCCCACGTTATAAAAAATACCAAGTGCACGAAACCATAGTTATGTGTGAGCATGGGCTGATTAGTCATTAGTCTATTAGTCTATAATCAAGATGTCTTCTTTAAGAGGAAAGAATGGGCGATTTTAGGTGGGATGGCCCTGAAGTAAGAACCAGATGCCAGGTATAGTTTCAGTGTAGAAACCCCGACACGTCACGGGCCCGGGGCGAGAACGAGGGCATGCTGTCAGGGGACTGCTGACTTCCCAAGGCTTGCTGATTAAGCTCGTGGAATATAGGTTGTGATATGCATATTGACTCAGGAATATGACTGAATGAATGTTCCTGCCTCTTACTGAAGTAACGGACAGTGATAGAGTGTGGGAAGTAGAAGGATGAACCCAAATGATGGCAACGTTGAATCTGAGGTGCCCGGAAGACAGCTGATAGGATTCTCCAGGGATCAGAAAGCTTGAGGGAGTCCAGAGACAGAGTCTGACTGGGAAAAAGCAGCCCAGGGCATGTTCAGGAAATACTGCCACAAAAGAAAGCAGGGCAGAGTTAGAATACAAAGACAGCAGGCCTCAGACCTGACTGGTGACACAGAGGCCAGGCGGAACGAGCCAGCACCTCCTTGCTCGCCCAGGCCCTGCTCCTGAGCCAGGCAGAAAACATGGACAGCAACTACGTGGATGGGAAGAGGCGTCTGATGAGCAGCTGCGAATGCAAGAACTTTACAGAGACATCCAGGGTGACGACGCCCAGGAGAGCCCCAGCGGAGAAATCAATCTCCCAGGCAGTAGCCAGCTGACAGCCCTGGGCAAGAAGGCTTGGCTCCCCAAGATCACTGAAGATTTTACTGCCATATATCAGGCTAATGATGGCTCCTCAAGGATGGCAAGTCTGGCTCTACTGAAAAGATAGATGATGCTAGTAATGCTGAGAAACCTCTGTGAACAGAAACTCCCAAACCCACGGATCTCAAAAAGAGGAGAGAACAAAAGGCTTCACGTTGAAGATAGGAATACAAATGTCACGTGACTGGTTTGCCTCCAGACATCACAGTGGAGGCTTCCTCACGCCTTCTGTCTAATTTGTCATAATTATGAGATCCTCAGGCAGAAGCTAAAGTCAAGCTTCTCAAAGATAACCAAAGAAATCTTGAAGGGGATGGGCTTTGCAGTTATTTGAAGAGAGAATCTGTGGGTCTTGCATTAGAACTTTTGGATGGAGATGAAATTAGAAGGTAGAAATTGCATATTGAGGCTGCCGAGTTCCAACTAAGGGGAACGTGAGGCTTCAGAAAAGCAGAGGTGCCCGCAGCACAGGAAGAAGTGTCTCTGTAATAACAGCAGCTGGACTGCTGGACCATCCTGAGCACGCCACAAACGAGGGAGTCGTCATCCTCAAAGATGTCCCATCCTGTGGATTCTGAGGATGGCCCGCTGGTGCTCAGCGAGGTCAGAGGAAACCTCTGAGGAGAGTATGCAAAGTGTGGGCCAACTGGGAAGCTCCTTCTCCTTGATAAACACCCAGATGGTGTAACCTCTGTGACCTTGAGGAATGCAGAAGAAGCTGATCCTTGTATTTGAACCCTCAACAGCAGGTGGCTTGGTGGACACCAATCCCTGTCCAAGCGTGGGGTGGGACTACAGAGGACCAGGCTGAGGGGATGCCAAGGGAAAGGGAGGAAAGGCTAAGAGAACGGAGGCTTTCTTTAATGCCCCGAGGCCAACAGAGGCAGTCAGTATTCAAATTCCATCTTTGCTTCAAAGAGCAGGTCTTCTAAAGCAACACATTTCTAGAACATCCTAGCACACGACGAATGCTCAAGAAGCTGTAACTAACATGGCATTTAAAGAACCTATAGGTGGAAAGATATTTGACATAACAGAAGATGGGGGAGATTTTGAAGAAAATCCTTCTAAAAAAGATGCTAAAGAACATGGCTCTGAAGAGTCTCAAGAAGGCAGTTCCAAAAGTCTGAAGAGACCATCTTGGAGGAGAACCTCAAATGAAGAGCCTCAAAAAAGATTATGAAGACGATGGCTTTGGAAAAAGCTTGAAGGCGACCCTGAAAAGGAATCTGAGGAGGACAGCCCCAAAAAGAGCCTGAGGAGGATGTCTTGGAAAGAGAAGCTGAAGACTGCTCTTCAAGACAGTTTGAAGATGGCTCCAAAAACACAGAAGAAAACGGTGTTGAACAGTTAGAAGGAAAGAACCCTGAAAAATCAGAATTTGAAGACGATGGCTCTGAGGGAGCGTCTGATGAGGGACGCTCTGAGAGGGTGAAGATTCAGGTGAAAAGAAAGACACACATGAAAAAGTATTTGATGATGCGTCAGCTGAAAAAGAGGCGGAAGATGCAGGTGCAAAAGGGTTTGAAGGTGCTGATGAAGGGGAGGAAAGTGAGGCAGGGGAAAAGCTGTCGGAAGATGACAGTTCCAACAAGAAGGTATTTGATGACGAGGATCCAGGGAGAAGCTGTGTGGTGAGTCTGACGAGAAGGGGATGCGGGTGGTGTCGGGAATGCTGAGGAAGACGGGCGCCGGGCATCTGTCTGTCCTCAGCAGCGACCATGAGGAGGAGGAAGAGGAGGAGGAGATGTAATCTCTTAAACTTGCTCTTAGGGAGACGCCCACATCCACATGCCTCTACACTTCGGGGTCTATTAGCAGTGTCACATGAACGTGTGCGGTGATAGGATGCCATCAGACTAACGCTGGGAAATGATCATTGTAACTGGCACTCAGTGATTTAAAACATGTTAAATGGCTGTTCAATTAAAACCTCATAGTCATAATGCAAGTAAGGAAAAAAAAAAAGAAGAAGATGATGGAAGAAATAAGTCCAAACAGAGCACCAAAACACTAGCTATGAAAAGATTCAACTTTCCTGTAAAAAATAAAACTCTCAAGTTGAGTCATGAAATAGAAGAAACTAACAAATCTAGCTCCACGCCAAGAAAGCTATTTGAAAATAACCACGAAGGTTGCAAATAGGGAGATGGAAAGATATTGGAAAAGGAAAGAAAGAACCAGCTGGCCCCGGCAACACTGGGCTGGCTGTATGAAACCCTGAAACACTCCAGGCACGTCATGCACGTCAGTAAATAGGTCTAGGTAATTCCGTTGTCTGTCATCTGCTCACAGCATCATCTTCTCTTTGCACATGCTTGTGTCTCCTTGTGTGGTGCTCATGTGATGTGTACATGGCACAGTTATTGCCCAAAGTACCAAGGGGGTGTGCACAGGATGGGCTCTTCCTTCCAGATGGTTTTCAGCCTCTGGGCCCAGGATGCCACCATCTCTTTTCTCTCTTCTTCTGATGCAATCTCAGGAGCAAAACTGATCTGAGGGGCAAGGATCTTAAATCCACAGAAGTGCAGCGTACCGTGCTACAGCCAGAGAGAGAGAGGACTGGTGAGAAGCCACACCCTTTACATATCATTCAGTTAAATACTTAAAGGGGGAAATGGTATGAAACAAACCTTCAAAGAATACTGAACAACTGTAACGCTACGAGGTAACGGAAAACAACTGAGCTGCCCTACAGCCTTAGGCTGAGGCCTTTGCCAGCGAGGTGAAGCTCTGGGCCGCGGGAGCTCCCAACTCTATTCTGATAACTGAGAGTAAACTGCAACCTCTGCTACTGATGCAGACACTAGACATCACGGTTCTGCTTGATTAGACAAATTATGGTACATTCATACGATGGATTATTCCAGAAGAGATTATTCTAGCTATTATGTGCCACCATGGAAGGTTGTTCAAGATAAGTGCTAAATGAAAACAACAAGAAATTTGAAGCAGTATTTGTGGTGTACTACTTATGTAAAAAAAAAAAAAAACATAATAAACCTAATAGCAAAAAGTATATATGTAAGAATATATATGGGCCGTAAGAAAATACACCAAATTATTAAAAGTGATTCTTTTTAAGGGGGGATTAAGAGGACTGACTTTCTGTTGTTATATTTTATAGTCTCACTTCTTTGTCTGTAATATGTACTCTTTTGCAAACTGAAAAAAATATCAAGATTTTTTTTAAATAAGAAGAATTTAAGCTTGGGTACCGGCATATAAGAGACCAGTCGGCAGGTGGAGGAGAAAGTCCAGACTTGTGAATTACCATCTCCCTCAGCAGAGCATCACTGAATGGAATCACTGTCACCATCTTGTCTCTTTTCAAAGAAGACCACTTGTTTTTCTAGAAATCTCTCTCTCCTCCCTCTGCTTTCCTTCCCTTAAAACCCACAGCCTGGTCCAGGCCTGCCCTACCAGGGGTAGGCGGGAGGGCAAGAGGCCCACACTCCACTGTCTACGTTTTCAAAGCAAGCCCACAAACTGTCAGGTGTGTGACCCCCTCCTAGGTCGACACACGTCCCTTCATAACAACCAGAAAGAACAGTTCCCACCTAGGTTCCCACCGGGGTCTTCCGGGAGTCCTGCACCGGGATGCAGCTGTGGGACCGGAGCCTGTCCCTCAGCACGGGGGCTTCACACGTGGACACCGCAGGCTGTTCAAATGCGCTCTGCCCACTGCTCTCCCCTCCACAGCCAGCCATCCTTGGCCGATCCTCGGGCCCAGGGCATGCACACAGGCAGCACGGTGTCCACCTTGGAGAGCGGGCCACAGGCCCTGAGCCCTGGGTACCCAGAAGGGGGTTTGGGCTCTAGCGAGGGGGCACAGCCCCTGGCTCCATGGACCCCTCGCCTGTGGTGGGCGTGAGGCTGTCCTGAATGCCAGGCCCAGGGCACCTCTGGCCAGGGTTCGAGGGCGATGCTGCCTCCACAAAGCTGAGTCAGTGTGGACGGCTCTACACCTCCCTTGTTACACACACAGGGCCACCTTGGGGTGACTCTGTTTACCACAGAGCAGACATCAACTAACCAGGTTTGGCTTAGCTTCTGCCCAAACAATATCAAAGGCTGTCATTATAACATGTGTTTTCCCTACTGGCCAACCTTTTCAGTGCTGCTAAGTAAAAAATGAAAAAGGGCAAGATGTTCTAACTTCCTGTATCCAGGGGGAGGTAAAATGGTCTGGGTGTCAGGCTTCCGTCCCATCTCGTCTGACCCCTGGGGGACTGCAGGGGAAGGGGGGCGGGCAGGGTGGTGCAGTGGGTACCTGGAGGGGCCACAGGAAGTATCGAAAATCTCCGCTGACTCCGGTTTTCGTGTACATCTCGGCCATGCCGCCCGTGGTGAGCGAGAGGAGGGCCAATTTATCCTGCAGAAGAGAAAGCAGATGCCTTTGTGTGGACTCCAGAGGAGGAGATAAATAAGGGCTATTGCCACTCCAGCACAGAGGTTTCCAATGCCCAGGAGGGAAAATGTGAGGTCAGTTCCTTCCAGGGATGGACAACTCTAACATTCCCATCTCTGTCCTGCCCAGCTGCAGGTGATACCCACATCCAAGGAGAGGAAGGAGGGAACAATCAGAGGGACTGGACCAGGGGAGCAGAGACTCTGCTGTGCCCGACTTCAGGTCGAGTGCAGGCTCCATGGATGCTGTGGGGGAAGTGGGTGAGTGCTAGGCGCTGACTGGTGGCGGGGGGGGCGGCTGTGACGGCTGAATGAGGCAGTGGGCAGGTGGGCCAGCACCCAGGACCACTCAGCAAATGGCAGCGTTACTTCAGGGTCCAAGACGGATCTTTGTGATTCAGTGTTTTCCTTATATGCACTTATTTTCAGAGGCTTTTAGAATTTAAAAAATCACAGCTCCTCATGTTGCGCATGTAGCAGGTCCATGTGAGCCTACGCCTGCATGGAGGTCTTGTGTCACCTTATTTTTCCGGGTAGGAAGGTGAAGCTCAGAGGAGAGCTGGGACGAGGCCAGGGCTCGACTGTCAGGAGCAGACCCCTCTCGAGAGCCAGGGCTGACCACCATGGGGCCCAAGTCGGCCTCCCCAACACCAGCCCAGGCCCCCGCGGCCAGTCACTAGTTAGTTGTGGACGTGTCTGTGCCCCTCACTAGACCAAGAGCCCCATGACTTCAGAAACAATGCTTTCCTCACCCGAGCACGGAACCCGGGGCTTTGCACATAGTTGGTGCTCAATCAGTATTTGTTTAAATCAAAAGCAAACTAGAAACGCAACTTGAAGAGCTGCCCCCCTCCCTCCCCCGTCCCAGCGACTCCTACCCCAGTGCACACACCTTGAGGAAGCCGGAGTCGTAGAATCCGGGGACGTCGAAGGCGAAGCCCTGGCACAGCACCCTGTCCATCCAGCCCTTCAGGATGGCCGGCACGCTGAACCAGTACAGCGGGAACTGCGGGGGCAACAGCGGAGCCACATGCTGTCTACCTGGTGATCCAGGACTCCCGCCGCCCTCCCCCGCCAGGTGGCCGGGCAGGTGAGGGTACCATGGGGCAGGATGAGCAGGGCGGGACCTTTCTGCCCATTCCCTCTGAGGCACACAATGAGGACATGGTGATGTTGGGGTGGACGGGGTTGACAACGGCCCTGGCTGCTGTTATAGGTGGCTCTGCATCCCGCAGTGACAGTCCCCTGATGCTGGTCCCTGAGCAGGCGGGAGGCGCTGGGAAGCTCTAGGAGACACTGGCTCTGTGGCAGCAGTCCCTGTGACCGATCCAGGCGAGGGGGCCAAGAGGAAGGGTGTGGAAGAGAAGGTACCCCTGTCCGTGCCTGGGAGTGAGCTGCTGGCCTCTGGGAGTCGGACTGAGTTAGGTGCTGAGCTTTGGATTTCAACACAAACTAAAGCCTTATGCTCAGATTCCAAACACAGCAGCAGTAAGAGCTCCCTGAAGTCCCTCTGGTTCCCAGAGAAGCCCTAACACTCTACTGAACACATCATCAATGGAAGGAACACAGGCAATAATCTGTCGCCAAAGGGGAAGGAAGCCCATGTTCCACGTGCTTTCACGATACATCCAACGCGGGACTCGGCACTGAAATCCAAGCTCCACAACCTCCTGCTGATGACGGTGGCAAGTTGCTTAACCTCTCTGTGCCTCCTTTTCCTGATGTGAGTAGGGCGACTACTAGTTCCCAGCTCACAGCATTGTGCTGAGGATTCAGTGACACACTGCAGCGCCCAGAACAGCCAGTGCGCAGTGAGCAGCGAGCTATGATAACAGTAGCAGTAGTGATGAATGAAATACTTATTAGTGTTGAGTAAAAAAAGAAACTTACAATGCAGACCCTCTGGGCAAAGTATCAGGAAAAGAGGGAATGCAGGGGGATAAGAGAAGTGAAATGGGGTAGAAAAGAGAAAGATCATTACAGAAAGAACAGGCCTTGACTTGCTTCAGCCACCCAGTTACATGAGTGGAGGAGGCGGGGGAGAGGAGGGGCAGCTGGCCCCAGGAAGACAGGAAGAGAGGCGCGAGAGAACTGAGCACGGCTCTGCTCTGACCGTGGGCCAACTGCTGGGGCCCGTCTTGCTGTAGCCCCATCGTTCTGGCATGACTATTAGTAAGTGGACCATAAGCCATATAGCCACCTAGGTCTAAGGCACTGTGATCCAGCCACGTGTAATGAGGACGAAAGAACGTCCTGCACCTTGACCAGACCAGCAGCTCAAGGTCGCTCATAAAGACAGGGATGGTGCCAGGAAGGCGTGCATAGAGGCAGCCTGGGTCAGGCAGAAGAGAAGGGGTGAAGCATCCCTCCTCCCATAGGTGCAGGTTTATTTTATGAAGGGTTTGTGAACTTCGCCTTTCAGGATGTGTTGTTCCATCTGGACCCCTCACCCGAAATGTGGGCTCAGCACCCCCATGAGCACAGGGGTCTTGTCCTCCCACCCACTCCCCACCCTCAAGCAGGCTGGAAAACAGAGACAATCTGGACCAGTCAGATTGCTCCCTTCAAGATTCTGGATCTAAACTCCAGTCCTGGGTGCGCAGTGAGGGAGGAGAGCAGAGCCGACGTGCGGAGAGGAGCAGCTGACACGCAGAGCCAGCGAGAGCGGAGGTGTCCAAGCCCCATCTCCACTGTCCCTGAGGCCCAGCCAGCCTGCCCTTGGGTTCAAGGAGACCCAAGTGACCAGGGTCCTTCGAATAAATTCTCCTTTTCTTCGAGTTGGACTTAGATTTCCATCAACCCAATGATTCCCAAAAGCACGGGTTTATTTTGCTGCCAGGCTACGTTCACCTCCACGGCGGCATGCCTGTCTAGCGCGGGCGGCAAGTGGCCTTGACGAGCTAGAGTCCATAGAAGCAGCGTCCTGGGCTGGCTCTTCCTGCAGCGAGTCACCAGCCTGGGACAATTGTGAATGAATACACGGAAGCAGGGTCGAGTGAGGCAACCAGAGAGAGGAAGGAACAAAAGAAGATTCTCCTCTTAATGATTAGGATATTCAAGGCAGGAGTTGCCTTTCACCCGAATTACCTGGGTAAATACTCACATGGACAAATCTGGTTTTCATGCAGCCTCTACACGTCTGGGGTGGGGACGGGAGGGGAAGGAGGGCAACTCAGGGCATGAGTCAGACATTCCATGGACTGCTGGGCTAACGCAAATGCTGAGGGGTCAGGACTTTGAAGGAGTGATATTGGGTACATGGATCTCCTTACCCAGCCAGACACAAATATGTGGGCAAATGTGCTAAAAACACTAATACCACTTCTGGGAGCATGAAACTCAGCATGTGGAAAGAGTCTGACATAAAATGAATCTAATTCACCATAATAATTAGAGGAAAAACGAACCTGAAATATCACTAGATCAGCTTCCTGAACCTTCTTCTGCTCGTCAATGATGTCACTGGTCAGAGACCTCTTCTTGCAGGCTTCATATGCCTCCACCCCATAACGGAAGAAGTCGGGATTGCAGAGCACGCCTGGAGAGGAAGAGGCCAATGTTCTCACTCTCAGCTGGGCGTCCACAGCCCATCCTGCCGATCCCACGAGTGTCACTGTTACCTGGACTCACTGAGCAAGGCACCAGACACTCACCGAGACCTGACCAGGTGCCAGGCCCTCAGCTCAGCTATGTACATAAAAAGAGAGAAAGCTACCGTCCTTATCTTCAAGGGACTCAAAGTCTAGCAGAAACAGATAAATAACCAAATGATTAACCTACAAAACCTGATCGGTCTGCAAGCTCAGTCTAATGCTGTGGCCAGATGAGCCCCCATGCCACCATCAAGATGCATGTGGTCCAGCTCTGGAGTGTGAAACACGTACAGCGGCCGCCCAGAGGGGCAGTAACCAGCTCTGCTTGGGTGGGTTACCAACACATCCCTGGAGATTGGCTTTCTGACCGGGTTTTGAAGATGGGATAGGAGTTCACCAGGTAGCCTGGAGCACTGGAGTGAAGGGGAAGGATGTTCTGAGCAAAAGACGCAGAGAGGGCAGAGCGTCCACCAACCTGGCCAGGCCGGCAAAGGGCCACCAGGAGCACATCTGAGGGACGGGGGCGAAAGGCAGGAGGGCTGCAGGTGATGTGACTAGAGCGATGGGCCAGGCCTCGCAAGCCTTGCTGAGAAGCTTAGGCTTTTCCTGCACGTGGGGAGCTATACGGTGTAAGCAGGAAAAATAAACAGATGGCCCGATGTGAGTCTGGAAAAGCTCACTGTAGCAGCAGTGATTCAAGAGCAAGCCCAGTGGGGGAGGGGGAGGTCAGGCAGGAGCCGCGGGTGGGAGGAGGCGTTTGGGACTAGAACTTCCAGCTCTACCTAGGCAACTAAGACGAAAGTAAGTTATCTTGATCTATGCCTTTAATCAGCTTCCTGTCAACCAGAACGATTCCTCAGGAGGCATTAATCAGGATTAATAACAGGTTGCCATCACGGAGGGCTTCCCACCCCCCAGGTGCCGCGCTCCATACAGGACCTCTTCTAACTTCAGAACAGCCGATGAGATCGGTGTGAGGAAACCCAGACTGAAGAGAGGCTGAGGGACGAGTCCAAGGCCACCAGGCCCTAAGTGGCAGCAGAGTGGGACGACAGTGGAGAACACACTGGCAATTGCCTTATACAGCACAGACTACCTCTGGAAGGATATGGAGCAAACTGATCCACGGACCTTGAGGGCAGAGGAGCCGTGTGGCTGGGGGACACAGTGGGAAGGACCTGCATTGCAGACTCTTTTATCTTGAGAGTTGTATATCACGTCAATGATTAGCTTTTTTCAAGACATTTTTTAAATTAAAAAAACACAAGAAGAAAGTTTTAAAAAAGCAGAGCGCTTATCCCACGACTCACCAGCGATATCCTTCCTTGTGGCCCTCGGCTCAAAGTCCATAGCGTAGAGATCAGAAACAGTGACGGCGCAGCCCTGCCTGTTCAGCTCCTCCACCGCCACTCTCTTCAAGGATCCATTGAAAGACCTGGGCTCTTGGTGCGCATAGACGATGAGCACTTTCTTACCTAAATCCGGAGAAGAAACATTCTCTTCAAGAGCAATTCCTCTGTATCAAAATTCAAGGAGGACTAAGACGAAAAGGAGGTGTGTAGGTGTGTCACAGCAGCTGAAGCTAAGAAATACCAACCCTTTTTATGGGTGACAGTTTTAAAATAATGAGCATTTTTTTAATCGAGTTATATCATAGCTCATCATTATTTGTGCTTACTAATACACAAAAATACAACAGGTCAAATTATGATTCCTCAAAAATAACACCACTAAGGGGGGCTGGCCCCGTGGCCGAGTGGTTAAGTTCGCGTGCTCCGCTGCAGGCGGCCCAGTGTTTCGTTGGTTTGAATCCTGGGCGTAGACATGGCACTGCTCATCAAGCCACGATGAGGCAGCGTCCCACATGCCACAACTAGAAGGACCTACAAAGAAGAATATACAACTATGTACTGGGGGGCTTTGGGGAGAAAAAGGAAAAAAATAAAATCTTTAAAAAAAAAAAAGAAAACACCACTAAGTTCTTTAAAAGCCCAACCTATTTTGGCTATCCTCTATGAGAAGTTTTAGCCCTGTTTCCTAACATCAAAATAAAAAGCTACCGCAATTACTCTTTCGTGTTAACCCTACATTGGCAGGTGTCAGCTACTGCCACAAAGTTGTGCTTTCTTCTCCTCGAGGCCCATCAAAATCTGACACTTAAACAAGATATGAAACATTGGACCCCTAGTTCCAGAGGGGGGAGCAGGGCCTACACAGAGCCCAGCTTTTCGTGGCAAGTCTGACAAGAAGCTCTATGAAGAGTCAGGTCTTACAAGTCCTGGCTGTGTCATTAATAGCAGAAGCCTCTGAAGCAGAATTTTCCCCGTTTATAAGATTCTGTGAGATTATGTACTGATTTCTCCTGGAAGGCAGCTTTGGGGATTTGCTTAAATTTGTCCTGGTAACGTCTAAGACTAAAATGTTCTAACTCTTGATTTAAGTTTCTCAGTTTAGGACCTTGAGGAGAAAACACAAAAGTTAATTTGAAGCAAACAGCTTTGGGACACTTGACTGAGTGTAAAGGTTGAATTTCATGAGTTAGATTAATGGTCAACATTCTTGACTTCTCAGATTCCTTTGTGATAAAAGAACTCTACTTGGGAGCTTAATAGGAGAATGGATACAAATGAAATATCCACACCAGTGGCTCTCAACTGCGGGCAGTGCTGCCTCCCAGGGGATATTTCACAATGTCTGGAGACAGTCTTGCTTGTCACGGCTAGGGGGGAGGGTGCTACTGGCATCTGATAGAGACCAGGGATGCTGCTAAACATCCTGCAATGCACAGGACAGCCCCCACAACAAAGATTATCTGGCTTAAAATGTCAGTAGTGCTGTAGTTAAGAAACCACAATCTACACTATAATGTGTAAAATAAGGTGGATCTTTAGGTTCTGAAATAAAAGGATTTTCATGTTTTATTGCTGGGAGAAAAAAGAAGTTGCAGAATGGCGTGTGTGTGTGTATATGTGTGTGCTGTGGGCAGAGACAAAAGTAAAGATGCAGTCATACTGAATGTTTCACCATGGTGACTGCTGGGGCTCACTCACTCAGTAACTATTTATTGAGCACCTACCATGTCTTGGGGATCATTCCAGAGACTAGAACAAAGACAGGATAAGCATGTCCCTTAGTTTCAGGGAACTTACATTCTGGTGGGGTTGAAATGGACTGTGGGAATTAATAAAAGAAACCTGAACTCCACTGAAGTCGGGAAGACCTGCAGGGGGAGCTCTCCTGCACTATCATACATGGTCAATTACTCCAAAAGGGAAGAGACAGAGGCTCTGACAGGAAGCCAACTGCTTCACTACTCAAGGGAGATTTCTCTCCCCACCCAGCAACACACCAGCCATGAGAAACACAGCAGCTTAGCCAATGAGAAATGCCTCAGCTCAGCCAATGAGAAATGCCACAGCTCAGCCAATGAGAAATGCCTCAGCTCAGCCAATGAGAAACACTGCAGCTCAGCCAATGAGAAGCCATTGCCACCCTGAACTGCTACTTTCCTCCAATGGACTTTCCTTTAGAATAGCCCCTCCCACTCCCCCTTCTTCTCTATAAAGCCAGCTCCCCTTCTTTGTTCTCCAGATTTGCCTATGATTCTCCAGAGCCCGCACATCCCAGATTGCAATTCTTTTGACTATTCCTGAATAAACTCGTTTTGAGGCTTTTTAAGTTAACAGGACAGTAACATAAATAAGAAAGTACAAAGCAAGATAATTCCAGATAGCGATTCTGTAACTGCGGGCCCACTAGGACCAGTTTGAACTGATCCCATCTTATCAATAGAATGATTAAGAGTTGTTTTTCAGAAGTAGTAAACAAAAAAATCTGCAAGTCACGTAGTCAGAGAACGCACAGAGGAGAAAATCTTGACCTGAAATGACACCAGGACCAAAGATTCTCCCTCTGCAGAACCAAAGGACGGGAACAGGACTGGAATGTGAAAGTTGGACTCTTGTCAGAAGTGAGGGATCCGTTGTCCCGGAAGATCTGGCGGTGAAGCCCCTTCCACAGCTTACCACAAACGTTTAAAACATTACCACAAATATTTCAAGCCCTCCAATCAAAACCTGCCCCTCCAGCATTTCCCGTCCCGGCCTGTTCTCCCAACCTCTTAACTTTGGCCCCAAACCCTGAACCAGGGACACAGGGTTGAGAGCTTGGCCTCCTGCCTCCTTGGGCGGTGACCTCACAATCAAGCATTTTCTTTTCTCAAAAGCCAGTGGCATAATAATTGCTTTTCATGTGCATCAGGTAGAGAACATCAATTTTGTACGGTAACAATTCACGTTATAAACAAAAGGGTTGTTTGAATTTTTTATAACAATGTATTCAATCTCCAATTAAAATTTCAACTTTAAAAAGTTTAACTACCCCACAGCTAATAATCACCTGCCATGTGCTAGGAAGACGGATTCTTTCTCTCTGAAGACTGCCAAGAGGTGGGTCTGCTGTTAGTCCTGGTCGCTGGTCAGGAAGTGCTCGATGGAGCAGCCCCAGGCTTTCAGGTGTGGCTGTTCTGCTCAGTGACCCCAACAATCTGCAAGAGAAAACAAACACTTGAGGGAGGTGGGGGAGGCAGTGGTGAAGTCAACGTGCTGACTCCAGGCCTCACCACCACTTAGTGAAGGGCAGGAAAATGTGTCAGAAAAAAGTCTTCTCAAAAGAGGCAAGGAACTCTCTGGAGATTTAGGCCTCAGAGGATAAATCATGCAGGCTATCAAAACCATTTTTTTTTTTTGAAAGGACTCAGAAGTTTTTCTGAAGGGGCCACAGAGAAGAGGTCCTGGGAAATGAGTCATCCGATAGGAAGAAGGGCCGGGCCTCTCTTCCTCCCTCCCTCTCCCAAGCTTTCCCCGTAAGATATTCACCTTAGCTGATTAGACAACGGGCAGGAGTACTGGTAAGCAATTCATAGCTACCATGTCTACCAGAGTCTACAGAGCCCCAGCATCACCCAGGAGAGCAAGAGAGACCAGTACATACGTACGACAGCTGGCACATAAGGCTCTGGAAAATCTTAGTTCTCCCTGTGGGGCCTCAAAGACCAGGGAAGCCTGAATCCTCACCCCTGGCTGGCCGACCCCACAATAACTGGCTTCATTCTGAGAAGAGACAGTCTCCAACAAAGCTGCGCCCACCGTCAGAAAAAACTGCTCAGAGCCTGTGACTCAGGGCCAGTGTGGAGATGCCGCATGTTGTGTCCAAATGACAATCTGTGTGTGTGTGTGTGTGTGAGAGAGAGAGAGAGAGAGGCAGATTGGCCCTGAGCTAACATCTGTGCCAACCTTCCTCTATTTTACGTGGGATGCTACCAGAGTGTGGACTGACGAGCAGTGTTAGGTCTACACCCAGGATCTGAACCTGCAAACCCTGGGCTGCCAAAGTGGAGCGTGTGAACTTAACCACTACACCACAGGGCCAGCCCCACAAATGACAATTTTAAAATGTCAATGCATCCCAATAAAAATAACAGAGAGACAGAAATCGGGCTCATCAATGGCCACCACTGGAATCTGGAACAGAGCCTGAATGAGCTCATTCCTGGGCCCTCCATGCCACCAGCTGTGCAGGAGCGCTGGGTAAACTGCTGAGATATGCAGACTGCTGCCAAGAACTGAGGGCAGGGTGAGGGGCTGGGCTGTACCCGGGGCTGGGTGCCCGGGGGACAGAAAGGAAAAGAGGTTTAAATAAGTGTGGCCAGAGCTGAGTCAGGGGCAGGCAGGCCCTTCAAGTGGAGAGAGAGCAAACAGCTCTCACCAGACAGAGGGTGGAAACTCCAAACACCTTCAAACCCCAAAGGTGAGTTTCAGTATTTTCCCATTTTGCTTAAATCAACTATTGACTGAACAGTTAGGAGCCTGCCTCTGGCTACCGAACATCATCTCTCTTGTTCTTTAAGAACAGTCCCTGAGAGCCAGCCCTGATGGCCCAGCAGTTAAAGTTTGGAGCTCTTTGCTTTGGTGGCCTGGGTTTGGTTCCCGGGTGTAGAACCACACCACTGGTCTGTCAGTAGCCATGCTGTGGCAGTGGCTCATATCGGAGAACTAGAAGAATTTACAACTATATACAACTACGTACTGAGGCTTTGGGGGGGGAAGGAAGAAAAAAGAGGAAGATTGACAACAAATGTTAGCTTAGGGCAAATGTCTTGCCCCCCCCAAAAAAATTCTGACCTATAAAGTTTGCCTAATACCTCTAAAAAAACCAAAAAAACAAAAAAGGACGGTCTCTGAATTTATTCCCATGTTAATATGCCCAGCTAGAGACTACATTTCCCAGCCTCCCTTGCACTTAGAGGTGGCCAATGAGGTGTAAGCAGAAGCCACCAGGTGGGGCTCCTAGGGAATATCCTTAAAGGGGCTGACTTAGCAGGGGTGGAGGGGGTGTACCATTTTGGCCCTTCCCACTGGCCTTCTTCTGAGCTGGACTGTGGGATGACAGTGAGGACTCAGTCAGTCATCTCGTTATCCTGGGGACAGAGGCTATGGACTAAGGATGGCAGAAGAGAGATATGAAAGGAATCTGCATTCCTGATGCTTTCTTGGGGCTGTGAGACGGTTCTGGATTGCCAACCTCCAGCCTTCTTTACATGAGAGATCAAACTCTGAACTGTGTTTAAGCCGCTGGGGTTGACTCTCCATTACCAGCAGCGAGTAGGACACAAGTCCTCACCAACCTACTCATCCAATCCACCGGGTCCCCAGCTTGTCGCAGGACTCGCCCTCTGGCCAGGTACTGCACTAGGTGCTGAGGCCACAGCAGTGAACAAGACACTGAGAATGGAACTTTATATTTATACCCTCGGGGCAGGAAAAGTCAGGGAAAGAAACCAACCATAAACATCTAGATAGTGATAAGTACTAGTAATAATACTAAGTAATGGTGGCAGTGATGATAAAATAAAGTACTCTAGTGAATAGAACAGCAGGGGTACCTTTGCTCTTTCAGAGGGGACGGTCCAGGACAGTATCTCTGAGCAAGCACGTGAATGATGATACGGACCCAGCCACGCAAAGATCTAGAGGGATAGAGGCCCAGGCAGAGGGAAAAGCAAGTATAAGGCGTGAGGTGGAAACTGGCCTGGAGTGTTCAAGAAACATCAAGAAAGCCTGTTTGACTGGCCTGGGGTTAAAAAACGGTGTGTGTGGGGGGGGGGTTTGCAGTCAAAGAGGTCATCTGGGAGACCCGAGAATGGCTAAGGATTTTATTCTAAGCCTAATAGAAAGCTGTTGGAGCATTTTAAGCAGGAGAGTGACATGACGTGATAACCTTTTAAAAGGTTACCGCTGTCCTGCAGATTCAGGAGACACCTTATCCTGAGATTCCAAAGGGGAGGCTTCAGATCAAAGGCTTTAATTTTAATGCTTACAGCAGGGCGTACATTCTTCTGTATCCCTCCGCCTCCCCATTCCCTATTGTTTTGCTTGGCCCAGTTTACACAGCTACATCACGTGCCTGGCCATCAACGGCATTTGAGCGTGTGACTCCCCACCTCATCCAATTCTCCTAGTCGTAGAGAACAAGAAACTGGAGCCCAAGAAGTGAGAGACTTGTCCAAAATAAGAGAAAAGACTCTTATCAGGCTCTTGACTTGCTGTCCAGGGTTCTTCACTTCCCTGTCTTCTCCCTCCTTGGGCCACACGCTACAGCAGTAACCGGTTTCTCCTTCGTTAGAAACTGTACACTTACCCACGTCTGCAGGAAAAAGGAACCTTGTGGTTATTAAACTATATATACCACATCCATGGGCTCTGATATTTTTGATGCACATGATTTCATCTTAATCAGCATCCAGAAGCTGTTTTACGACGTTTTCACTTCATTTCCTATGCTTTTTTCCATACGATCAGGCCCGTGCTTGTCATTCTCTATGTAGCTACACCACGGTCTGCATGCCCATTTGTGACCATTTCTCTATTCCTGAGCACTTCGGGTATTTCCATCTTTTTTCCAAAACAAAAACAGCACTGCTAGAAGTGTGTATTATTTAATATATGTTCCTTTGCATGTACTTCTTTGGTTGATATTTCCAGAGAGATTAAAAGTTGAAGCAAATTTTTTAGGTTCTGTTACAGATGGCCACAACATCCTTGACAAAGGCCGCGCGCGGTCAGGGAAGCCCAGGTGCCCGCCTCGGCCTTAGCCCGGCAGTGCGTTTACACACTGGCCTTGGGCTGCCCTGTCTCCTCGTTTGCGCTATGCGGGTAGTCACAGCACCGCGTACAGGGCGGAGGGCAGAGGAAACAGATGGCCAGCACTCAGAACGGGCCTAGCACGGGGCTGGCTCGGGAGGAGCCAGTACAGTCCTGGTTGCGAAACGATCAACGGCCCGCGGTAAAAGGGACCACATGTTCCCAGTCCGGCTGGGAAGTGAAAATCGGCGACCTCTCCGGCCCTCAGGCTCGGCCGAGAGCAGGCCCGGGGAACTGCCCCTCGCAGGCCCTAGGTCCCCGGGTCGGGGAGGCACTCACCCTCCGGCCAGCGGACACCCAGGGAGGGAGCGGCAGAACTCGGCCTTGCGCCTCTGGGAGGGAAGCTCCGAGCATCCGCACCAGCTCCCGCTGCGTGCGGCCGCGCGCTCCCAGACGCCCAGCGGTACGCAGCGCCCCGGCGGCCGCGCTCCAGGGAACCCGGACCAAGCGCACTGCGGCGCCCCGGCTGGTCAGCCCACTCGGAGGCGCCTCTCCGCCCCGCCCCGCCCCGCCCCGCCCACTCCCTGGCGCCTAGGCCCCTCTCCGCCCCGCCCCACAGCCCCGCCCCGCCCACTCCACGGCTGGGAGGTGACGCGACGCTCCGCCCCACAGCCCCGCCCGGCCCACTCCACCGCTGGGAGGCGACGCGACGCCCCGCCCCACAGCCCCGCCCGGCCCACTCCGCGGCTCCGAGGCCCCTCTCCGCCCCGCCCCCCAGCCCCGCCCACGCCCCTCCCCGGCTCCTAGGCGACGCGAAGCCCCGCCCCCCGTCCCCGGGCGGGCCCCCTCGAGATGGACCAGGACATGGGGTGGCTCCGTGCAGGTGGCGACCTGGGGCTTTCTCGGGCTACAGCGTTTGTTTCGCGATCCCCGGCCTGCTCTCCTGGCGTGGGCGGCGGTCTCTCCCTGAAGTGGCCGGGCACCGGGGCCCCGCCGGAGTCTCTGTCCCAGGGAGGAGGCCAATCGGGAACTTAGGTCAGGGGGCCTCCGCGGGCGCTGTAGGATAAGTGTCCAATCCCCTTATTTAGCATGTGGATATCCAGTTCTCCCAACATTCCCCAATAAATTCTTAAGCTCACAGGCTTTAGATTTTATTTTATGCCCTATTATTTACCGCTTAAGGTAAGTCTCTAAAGACTGGGGAGAAGCAATTGCTGGTAAGAGGGGGCCCCCTCCTGTCTAGGCAGGTATGGGGGTTTAAAAATGAAGGTGTGTGGCAGAACAGTTAGTAATAAAAAAAATGAACTGTTGATATACCCAATAGCCTGTGAGAATCTCTACAGAATTATGCTCAGTGGAAAAAGCCAATTCCCAAAGTTTCCATAGCACATGATTCCATTAATGAAGCATTCTTGAAATGACAGATTATAGAAAGGGAGAATAAATGAGTGGTTGCCAGGGGTTGGGAGGGGTGGGTGTAGCTGTAAGAGGACAACAGGAGGGACCGTTGTGATGAGAATGTTCTGTGATATTGTACTGTAGTCTGGCCAGGTGTTTTCATTGGGAGAAGCTAGATAAAGGGCACGTGGGATGTCTCTGTGTTATTTCTTACAACTACATGTGAATCTACAATTTTCTCAAAGGAAAAAGTTTTTAAAAAAAAGAAGGCTCAAGGACAAGGATATCCCCTAGATGGTGGAAAGTATGGAGCGAGAGCCAGTGGCTGGGTGTGTCGGGGGAGGGGTGCTGGTGAGCAGTGTGGGCTAATTGTCTCTTCTTCCAGCACTTTTTGGTTTGTGCCACCTCATTTGGTAGCCCGCCTACCATCGTGACCTCCCCAAGGACCCTCCCAAACTCTGTACTTGGATGTCTGTTGTCCTGGGATAGCCCTATTCAAGTAATAGAGCAGAAGGAAGCTTTTCACTGTGCTCGTAATGTTCCTAATGAAAGTGATTGCAGCTGTAGTTTGTAGACCACTGTTGGGGTTGGTCTGTCTGCTGTTGTTTTCCTTGTATTCAGGGGTGAGAATATGGCCTCTCTCTGAGAGGCCCTCATGCCAACAGGGAACAGGGCCACCTTGTCTTCTGAGCCCAAGAGATTACATAGGCAGTCTTCATTTTAGAATGACTTTTATCAGAGGAAAAAGTGCTTGGGGCATTTCTGAAGGTACTGGAAGGTTCCCACCGAGATGAAGTTTGGTTTTGTTTTTCCCCTCCTCTGTGAAAATTAATAAAGGGAAACCTCATTTAAAATGGAGTCAGGAGGCCAGAAGGGGAGCTCCCTTGCAGAACCACTGCAGGTCAATTACAGGAAAGGTAGTCAACTAGACCCCAACAGAAGTCATCAACAGGAAAGAATCATTAATTATAGGGAGAAATGTACATCGCATCCCAAACAGGAATTGACTACCCCAGCGACTCAGCCAATGAGAAACTATCATCACCCTGAACTCTTGCTTTTCTCTAATGGACTTTAGTTCAAAACACCCCCCTGCCAATTTCCTCCTTTTTCTCTGTAAAATAACATTCCTCTTTCTTGTTTGTGGAATTTGCCTACTGTCGGCCATAGCATGCACACCCTTTGGCTATTCCCGGATAAACTCTTTTTGCTGATAAAGTAACTGGCTGTTTTGTTTTTAAGGTTGATATCGTTTTGTGATGAGACTCAGGGGATGTCCTCAAATCATCTCTGGGTCACAGAAAGTAAGCAGTCATCCTAAGAAAGGCAGGTGCAGGCTCCCTGGAATAATTGAAGATAGACTTCCTTACAAGGAGGGCGTGTAATCCTGTTATTCAGTGACAAGGGTTTGGTCAGGTCTTTGTGCTATGAGGCTTTCTAAGGAAAAACAGCCAGACCTCTGGGTAGTAGGAATCCCATGGTGGGGGGAGGGGGGGGCAAGGAAACGTGAAATAGTAAGTTCTGGAACCAGTCTTGGAGCCGTTTTAGTCCTTGGTATGGAAACTGAAAGAGCTGAGCTCTGAAAAAGGACAAGATGCCCCTCATCGCTGAAAGACGGCAGGCGCAGTGAGGATTGGCAACTCAACGTTGATCATACACTGCCGCGATGCAACAATACCACCTTGTGGCCATGAGCAGAAATTGCAAGTGTGGACTGAGCAAGTAATTCCCTGTTTGAGGATGAAAGCTGGCCTGCCCTCATTCCCTCCGCCTTTTTCTTTTTTTTCCCCCAAAGATTGGCACCTGGGCTAACAACTGTTGCCAATCTTTTTTTTTTTCTTTCTGATTTATCTCCCCAACCCCCCGCCCCCCCCGTACACAGTTGTATATCTTAGTTGCACGTCCCTCTAGTTGTGGGATATGCGGGACCCCGCCTCAACGTGGCCTGACGGATCTGAACCCTGGGCCCCCACAGCAGAGCGCGCGAACTTAACCACTCGGCCACGGAGCCGGTCCCCTTCCGCCTTTTTTTTTTGAGGAAGTTAGCGCTGAGTTAACGTCTGCTGCCAATCTTCCTCTTTTTTTGCTGAATAAGACTGGCCCTGAGCTAACATCCATACCCATCTTCCTCTACTTTACATGTGGGACACCTGTCACAGCATGGCTTGACAAGCCATTGGTAGGTCTGCAACTGGATCCAAACTGGCAAAGCCTGGCTGCCAAAGCGGAAGGTGCGAAGTAAAGCGCTCTGCCACCCAGCCGGGCCCCCTCGCCTTATGAATGGTGTAAACCCCAGTGGTGATTCTAGGACAGTTCAATAGGAGCCCAAATGCAAAAGGGAAATCACTTCGTGTTAATTTGGGGTTAAGGGTTGAGCATTTACTGCACACAAATGAGATGGAAGCATATTTTTATCCTGAATTGGAGGAGGAGGTGGCGCTATTAAAACGAGATGGAGTTAGCGTCAACAATGACATCACCTTTGCGGGCTCCCGTATTTCATCCCTGGCAATGAAGAAATGCAAGAACAGGATTAGGCATTCTTACACTTCCCCTTCTCCCCAACTCCCCACGTTTGTGCTTCAGAGGAAAATGAATATCGAGGGCTACCCTAAGGCTAATCAGAGAAGTTTGAACTATCTCCTGGAAGGGTAGTTTCTTTTGGTTTTATTTAATGACTTTTGTTTCCCTCTGCAACAACATCCCCTTTCCTTTGGTAAACAAACTTCCTAATAACACATTTTTTAATTGAAAATTTATATAGCATGTCATTTTAACCATAATAAGTACACAATTCAGTGGCATTAATTACATTCCCAATGTTGCGCAACCATCACCATTAATTATTTCCAAAAATTTTTCAACACCCCAAACAAAAACGCAATAACCATTAAGCAGTTACTCCGTACTCCCCCCTCCACCGAGGCCCTGGTAACCTATAATCTACTCTCTCTGTCCATGAATTTGGATATTACAGGTATTTCATACAAGTGGAGTCATTCAATATATGGGCCTTTGTGTCCGGCTTATTTCACTTAGCATAATGTTTTCAAAGTTCATTCATATTGTAGCACATATCAAGACTTTATTCCTTTTTATGGCTGAGTAATATTTCATTGTACATATACAACACATTTTGTTTATCCATTCATCTGTTGATGGGTACTTGGATTATTTGGCTCTTGTGAATAATGCTGCAATAAATACTGATATGCAATTATCTCAGTCCCTGTTTTTAATTCTTTTGGTTATATTCCTGGGAGTGAAATTGCTGGGTCATATGATAATTCTGTTTAGCTTTTCAAGGAACTGCCAAACTATTTTCCACAGTGGCGCCACCATTTGACATTCCCACCAGCAATGTACGAGGGTTGTGATTTCTCCATATTCTCATCAACTTTTGTTATGTTTCTTTTTTTAAAAAAATTATTATAACTATCCTAATTGGTGTAAAGTGGTATCCCATTGTGGTTAGTTTGCATTTCCCTCATGACTACTGGTGTTGAGCATCTTTTCATGTGTTTATTGGATGTTCATATATCTTCTTTGGTGAAATGTCTATGCAAGTCTTTTGCCCAATATTTAATTGAGTTGTTTGTCCATTTGTGGTTGAGTTGTAGGAGTTCTTTACATATTCTGGGTATTATCATATATATAATTTGTAAATATTTTCTCCCATTCTGTAGGTTGTCTTTCACTTTTAGCCAGATATTCTTTTTCTTAATTCCCTTCTGTTCTTTTTACCATGCTGCTGAGTTCCCAGGAAATAGACCTTGGAGGTAGGATGGAGGCACAGTCTTTGTTCCATGAACATGCTGGTAGTTCTGAGTATTTCCAGGTTTCTTTGGACATTTTGGGGTGAGCAGATGTTATATGTTTTCAGGGTATCCATTGTCTCCAGTTGAAGATCATCCAAATTCTGAAATCTCATGAAGAAATCTAATGGTTTTTCTCGAACATAACTAGAAGACATGGACCCCTGCCAGTTTCATCAGGAAATGAGCTATTACGTTGATCTCCTTACAAAACATCTGGTTTCTGAGAAGTTTGTCTTCCCGTGGTGCTTTGGAAAGATCTGCCACTTATCAAGAGTGATCAATCTTAATTCCTCAGAAGCTGTGGCTGGAATTCTAATGGC